TTTCTCGCTAACTTTTTGCTTTTAGACATCAGCTATCTCGAAAGAATGGAATGCTCGTGCAGATCTTCCAGCCCATATTGCTCGAATGCTCGACAATTTCCCCGACAATCTTCACCCCATGGCTCAATTTGTCGCTGCCATTGCAGCTCTCAACAACGAGAGCAAGTTTGCTGCCGCTTACGCTCGCGGTGTCCCTAAATCCAGCTATTGGGAATACGCCTATGAGGTCTGTATCAGCATACTTAAGTAGGAGCAGCATGTCATTTAAATGCTTTGAAGGATTCCATGGACTTGCTTGCTAAGCTGCCTACCGTAGCTGCTATCATCTATCGCAATCTCTACCGTGACGGATCTGCTGTTGGCGTGATTGATCCCAAAAAGGATTGGTAAGTCAATAACTGATTCTGGGTTTTTGGAGGCAATGATCATTTCGTTACAGGGCGGGCAACTTTTGCTCGATGCTGGGCTACGATGACCCTCTCTTCTGCGAGCTTATGCGCTTGTACTTAGTCATTCACTCCGACCACGAAGGTGGAAATGTTTCTGCACACACCTCGCACCTTGTTGGTTCTGCACTCTCTGATCCGTACCTTTCTTTTGCGGCTGCAATGGCAGGACTTGCTGGACCCTTGCACGGACTTGCAAATCAAGAGGTATTACAGTTTTGGAAAAGAAAAATGTTGTTTCACGTCTTTGGGGAAATCTCTCTAGCAAAATGGCAAAAATAGGTCTTCTATGCTTATAATCTGCCGATTTAAGGTTCTTGTGTTCCTCAATAAAATCGTCCAAGAAATTGGATTCAATTACACAGAAGATCAACTGAAGGATTGGGTATGGAAGCATTTGAAGAGTGGACAGGTCTGTTACCATGGAGTTATCTCTTCGTTAAAATCTTGAAAGACCCATAATCATTTGAGTTTTGCTTCGACCTGGTAAATGAACGTTCTAGGTTGTTCCTGGATATGGTCATGCTGTGCTGAGGAAGACTGATCCACGTTATGAATGCCAGCGACAATTCGCTCTCAAGCATTTACCCAAGGATGACTTGTTCAAGCTGGTGTCGGCCCTCTATAA